TAGTATGTGTAAGCCTATGGGTGAGCCTGCATGACATCAACATAGTCCATATTTCACAACCATCCATCTATTGATTGAATTTTCCCCACTCTGGGGAGAATAAGGGTTCTCTTATCTTACCTTATTCTTCATACGTTGATTATTTTGGCCAACTATGCTATTCAATGATATAGTTGAATGATATAATCGTCCTCATTTGGATTATATCACCCCAGTGGGAAGTGTGTTATACCAGGATTCCTCCTCCCAACAGAAACAACAACAAGTTAGAAAAAACTATCGGCACAGAACGATAAGTAGCATTAGGTTTGAAAATCTTTCTAAAAATTAATCTAATGTCACACTTAAGATAATAGTGCTATGAGTACTATAACTATTTCAGTTCATTTATGTTGAACCTTTCCTTATTCAGGCATTGCACTGTGAGTTTAAGCTCTCTTCCTTCTGACAGCCTTTGACCTCATCAATACATTTTCACTTTATATACTTTTCACCCTTTTTTATCTTATAATTTTTAAGGTACTTTTTAACTGTATTGTTGAAAAGTTATTGTGCATTGGCCTTATGATTATTATGATGTCCTTGTTGTGAATGTGCTTTGTATACTGCTGGCTGCCCCTGAATTTCCCCTCAGGGATCGAAAGAAGATATCATGGGTTATGTCTCTGTGTTTCAGGTGATCCAAAGTTCTCCTCTCCAGAGTTGTTCAGAGATGAGCCGTACACTGCAGGCCCAACCACTGTGTGGCAACTGGGGCTCCTACTCTACTTCATGCTGCACAATCAAAGGCCTCTGATTCGTGAGCGGTTCCCAGTTCCCATCCCCAGGACACTACCTGAGAGTAACTATTGCTATTACATAACCATTTGTCTTCAAAGCCATACTCTTGTGTATCAATCCACATATGTCAATCCTCTGTCAGACTGTACAAAGAACACTGCTGACTTTGCCACAGCTGCTCAAAATGCTTACATTAGCCCAATCCTGTTTTACTGGAATGATTGTAATAGTTTCACTTAAATGCAATCAAATGAACAATCAACCAAAATAAAATCTAATTCAAAATAGATTCAGGGGTGTGGCATGGTGGCTGAGTGGATAGCACTCTCGCTTCTCAATAGAAGGGATAGGGGCCTTTTCTTAGTGAAGTTTGTATGTTTTCTTCTCTTAGGTTTCCTCCTGGTGCTATGGTTTCATTCAAAACATGTACAATAGGCCAAAGTCCTTCAGCTCTGGTCCTGACCAATATCTGGAAATTTGAACCCAGGTGCTGCAATGCAACAACCACTGCTCTTGATAGAGGCCCTTGATAGAAGACAGTTTTCCCTATGGAGTATAACTGAACTGAACTATACTAAAGGATGACGCCAAGTAATTAGGAGTCCAGGATCAACGTCAACGTTGTTTTTACAGGATCAATATTATAGCCAACCAATCAGGGGCCATTTGATTAGAGCTAGGGTTAGAGTTAACCCTTTAGGCGCCAGAGTTTTTTCAAGAAAATATACAATTGTGATTTCAAGATTTCAAAAGGCTATAACTTTAAAATGGTTTGAGATAAAGGCATACTGTAAATTAGAAATATCTTCAGTTTGAACCAAACTTTGGGATGGAAGTTGATTGGTCATCTAATTTGCATATTGTGACGTCATCAAGGTGGCGGCCATTTTGGAAAATGTTAATTATTGTATAAAGACTTCAAAAAGCTGTAGCTTGGGAGTTATTTGAGATCAGGGAATACTATAAACAGTCAATGTGAAATATCTTTAGTATAAAATTAATTTGGGATAGAAATAAATTCCCTGATCCAGATTATAGATAATGTTTTAGCATTGGTTCGCGGCCATATGGAATTGTATTATTTTCAAAGACCTTCAATGATCAAGACAGCACTCTTTATAGTTTACAGTCATGAAATCTTGAGATTGGTTTCAATATTTCCCTTTCAAAGAAGTAGTGGGCTTACTATTTTTCTCAGTGGAAATGAGGCTCCAGGATTTACCGTTTACAAACAGAGAGATGAAATGAATGGGCTCAGAACATGTCAGATCGTCTCAACAACATACAACAGGCTCTTCAACACTTCTGATCCACTTTTGTGGATTATTTTCTCTCAAGAACTGCCTTCATCCTCATCATCACTGTTGGTAAAGGCAGTGAACGCGATTAGCGATGTGTTTATTTTTTCCCGCGGCTCTCCCGCGACTTCTCCCGCGTTTCCCGTGGATGTCTACCCCCACTACTTTCTCCCACATGCCCGGTGTTATGATGCCCCTGTACCCTCGCCTCGACCCCAGCCCCTGCTTGGCGTACACAGAATGCTTCTACCGCGGCCACACGGAGGACATGCAGCCGCTGCACAGGGGCTGATTGTGGACTATGGAGCGCGGTCTCCCCGTCACTAATAATGTCCGTGTCTGCTTCACTGGACACCTGCGTGTCTTCCTGCTCTGAATCTGAGTGAGCCAGTACCAGACCAAGTACTTCTCTGGTACTGAAGACCTCGTGAGTAAATAAAAACCCTCTCTCCCTCTGCTCTGCTCTCGCTCCGCTCAGCTCTACCGCTGCTGCTTCGCCTCCGCGCCGCTGCGCCACAGGTGTTTTACGAACTCAATTTACTCAAAAACTTTCAATATAACCACACCCACAAATGTTGCTCATATTACAGGCACACATGTCCACTAACCCCTGGTGAAAAGTATTAACAAGATTCTGCACCACATTTTTACATACAGCCTGTTTAAGTGAGCAATGTTGCTTGTCGCAATATTGCGACTTTGGCGCTTAAAGGGTTAAGAGTCAAGGATAAGACGAGAGTCTTATCCTTGACTTTACCAACTGAGCTACTACTCAGTTGGTAGAGCACTGGCCTTTAGGCCTGAAGGTCGTGGGTTCGAGCCCACCATAAGACCTACTTCACGACTCCCACTGATAACTGCTGTCGTTGTGTCCTTGGGCAAGACACTTAACCCCACTTTGCCTGAGGCCCCTGCTGAAAGATCTCAGCTCCTGTGGACTTACCACCTGGAGGAGGATCAGTGAGGGGCTGGTGCTCTGTGAACTGGGTTCAGCTCTGACTGCCACCCCCCCGACCCAGAAATGGATTAAGGGGAAGAAAATGGATGGATGGATGGATATTATAGCCAACCAATCAGGGGCCATTTGATTAGAGCTAGGGTTAGAGTTAAGAGTCAAGGATAACCTTTTATCCTGCATTAATCCCGTGTCAGTTTTATCTGTATAGTGTATTTGAAATGTTCTCTGATCTCATCCACATAACTTGCATATGTTCAGATCTGAAAGACCTTCTGAAGAGGTGTCTGACAAAGGACCCAAAAGAGCGCATCTCACTGGAGGACATAAGAAGTCATCCATGGCTCCAAGAAGTGTAAGAGTTCACTCCATCTGGTCAGGACCTGACCTCAGGGTGTCGACTCCAGGAAAGACAGTGTGTGTCACACCAATCAAGCCCTGCACATCAGATTCCACTGATTTCATCAAGAGACTCAACGAATAAACATGTGTCCACTTGTCAATGAAGCCAGTTGAAGTCTTTTTAAACAGATCGGTGAAGAATTTTCCCCCAGTGAACCAGACTTCCAGGAAAGGCCAAAATACACATTGGTTGGGAGAGTTGGCAATTCAATCGAAGTGAGAAGGACTCAGCCATTAGGTATTGCCCGATTGGTCTGTGCACTTTCTTAATTATCTTAACATTAATTTGAGTACATTTGTATTGTTTTAAAGCAATGTTTTCCAATAGGAGCCATTTAGTCTTATTTCATGAATTGTTGCTTTTTTTTTCTCATTGCAAGGGGGACATTTATTGTATTTTGGGACTTTGCATGTGTTGTATTTATAAATACGTGACATTCTAAAACCATGTGTTTTATGACCTAACGACCTCTAAGTGGGAGGCCAGTCCTTCTTATTTTATTTTAGGTGTCTTCTTGTGCCAGCAACTGGACAACAGATGGATTCTGCTGTTTGGATTTCACCCCCCTAGTCTTGGCCTGCTGACTTCTGCACTTTTCAACCTCACTCCATCAGGAGTCTGGCAGACGGAGGAAAAGGCTGGACCCTAGACCGGAAGCTGGCTGATAGGACACTCCCCTCCTTCCTGTTCTTTTTATAGGCTCTGGCTTGGGAAGACTCAGAAGGATCAGCCGAGGGCCAGGAGAGGGACATATTAGTTTTAGGAGCACTCTTTTGTTGAATATCCTGTATCTGATTGTAAAGATAATTAAATGCAGATGTTAAACTTGGAGATCTCTTGTCCTACTCTTGCATCGACTCTGAATACGTCAGTCAAAGGGAATTTTGACTACATTTTGGTGAATCCCGACGTGATCGGTGCAGGAGCGGGACAGAGATGAGCTCAGATATAGACTGGGTCCGTCGGCCGGGAGAATTCTCTCTTCTCTTCTCTCTTCTCTTCGAAAGAGGTAAGCGGATCGTTACTTTTGAAAATCTGCACATTGTTTTAAATGGAAGAGAGAGAGAATTCGGCTCGGCGGACTGCAGCGTGGCCAGACGACCGCCGTGACGGGCGATTCTATCGGACGCGATAGAACAATAGTCAGGTTTAGACGTTTTTGGCCTTGGGGGAAGCATGGGTCCCTCCAAAAAAAACAGAACATAGATGATGGATCAGAGCCACAGAGTTTATAAGTGCAGAAGAGGCACACCGTTTAGAGTGCAAAAGAAGCACACCGTTTTAAAGTGCAAAAGAGGCACAAGTGTTTAGAGAAATAGGATTAGAAAATAGGGACAGTTAGGGTCAGAAGTTATAGGATAATAAAAACTGCATATCCCCCGGGGGGGCGGGGAAAAAGGGTACATTTAAACAGAAAAAAGCCAAGTATTTAAAATGTGGATTCTGATAATAATGATCTGATTAATGAGAAAAGAAGGAGCCACTTGGCTGTAACTATGAGTTTTCATGTGAAGAAATGACAAAAGATCAGTCTGGGAGTTTTTCTCTTGTATTGTGATGTAATGTTTCGATAGTTACAGAGAATCAGAAAGAAAAAAAAAAAAAGGATTCTACTGGAACCCTCGATACATTAATCAGGTAGCAAATGGTAATGTTTTCCATTACTGACGTATTTAAGGATAAAATGTAAAGTGTCGTTTGATGTGAGAAAAACTTTTACCACTGATTAAAACCTTATCACGATAAAAACGAGGAAAATGTAGCAAAAGGGGGTGTATTTCAATCATCCATGTGTTCCTTTGTTCGAGAAGCCACTCAGCCCCTCCCCTCCCTCTTTCTGTCTCTCTCTCTCGTGAAGACAGAACTATTACCAAAGACATTTTTTGTTTTGTAGAAAATTACATTTATACACACGATAATGTTACTGACATGGAGTCATAGGATCACAGAACTTTGAGTTAGATTATAAAGAGGCATTATTTTATGTTTTATTTTTTATCTCCAAGGCGTCTGGACAAGTTTTTTCCCTACATTTTGGTGATATAAAAGTTAGAATGATCTTAGAGAGCATTATGCTTTTGGAAAAATAGGGCTTAGGATAGCAGTTGAATGCAGAATTCGGTTTTCAGAATCTAATGTTTAAAATGTTAATATTAATTATTTCATAGGTTTATTTTGAATTGTAATTAATCATTGGTTTGGTATGGTAATTAACACACTTGTTTGTGCTTCTTGTTTGTCTGTTTTTTCCGAGAAAACTTCTGTCTGTTTCATTTGGCCAAAATCGTCTGCCACAAGAACCTCAATCGGGCGCCATCAGCACGGACCATCTGCGTCTCCCCCGTTTCACCCACAGGGGGCACCAAAGACAGCAGCATCGGCTGCAGCAGCTAACAGGAACTCTCAAAGAAGACCTCTCCGGCCTCCATTTCATGGAGAAGAACCAGACTTTTGCACAAACCGAGTGGAGTTATGTGCACGGAGAGGAACGTTGTGTAAACCAAGCGAAGGACGACACATTGGTGTGCGTCAGAAATGAGACAAAGAAGACATGAAAAAAAAAAGACATTGCAAGGAGAAGAAAGTGATTGAAAGAAGAAGAAGAAAGAAAGTGATTATGGAAAGAAGAAGAAGAAAGAAAGTGATTGTTGAAAGAAGAAGAAAAAAGACATTGAGGCAAAGACATTGGACACTTTGAGACAAAGACATTGGACACTTTGAGACAAAAGACATTGAAAGACGCCATGAGTAAAAGAAAGAGACATTAACGGACGTTTGAGGAGGATGTGGCTGGCCTAAATGAAACAGACAGGAGGTATTGTATACAGACAGGCAACAAACGCACAGAGACATATAGGACATTTAGGTCATACGTTCAAAACACTACATTTAACTGCATGAATGATTACAAGCCGATCGTCAAAATTACTCTTACTTTAGAATGAGACACAAGAAGATTAGAATTGTAGTATAGCTGTGCATGATTCAGATGAGTTTTATTATTAAAACTATTATTGATATTTAAAGTTATAGACGCGGAGAAGTTTAGAATTATTGATTTTGACTGCATGATCTTGGTAATACGGATATTTAAAGCAGTGTTTTCAACCTCTGAACCGTGGCTCGTTAATCATTTAAAAACAATCACATGCACAGTTGAAACTGGTGCTAGAAAGAGAACTGCAGCTTTTAATGGACGCTGCATTTAGTACAAAATGGTTTGTTCAGACAATTAAAGTTTGAAAAATGATTTGAAGCATTTCTAAATTTTGGCTAAAGGTGATATTGGATCATTTCTGATAACACATAGACGCAACACTGTTCATTGGTTGAAAACAAGGATGTAGGGACATTTTATGAAATCTTTTATGACATGTTTCTCTTCCAAATAGCTAAATTAGAAACAATTAGGACAATTATGTCTTTGATACAACTGTTGACAGTTTATCTGAGACATGATTGGTGCAAGTACACACACATAAAACAATGGTCTTTTCTCCACATGAACGTAAAACAAAGGTGAAGTATTAAAGTTTGAGACTAATTTACATTTTTAATGAATCCGACCTGGCTTTACTGAAAAAGAAAAAAAAGGGAAAAACATTAATTGCACGTGCATGAGTTTTTTTTAAGTAACAAGAGCTCATTAAAAATATAGGGGACACAGTCTGTGATAAGCCCGAGTACAGACCACGTGGTTTAAACATTAAAGTTCGAAATGGATCCTTGTAGGAAAAATGTCTTAAAGCTCTGCATATTTTGCAGGCTCTGAAAGTTGCAACAATAGAAATAGCTCATGAGACAATTGTAATTGGACATGGAAAAATATAACAAAGTTAAAATTACAGGCCTCCTGTGTTGTCTATATGTTTGTGTGTGTTATATGTTTGTGTGTGTTATATGTTTGTGTGGGTTATATGTTTGTGTATGTTATATGTTTGTGTATGTTATACGTTTGTGCGTCATGTCAAGTACACTACGATGACCTTAACAAACTCTGGACGAATATACTAACGTGGGGAGTCGGCCTGTGTGAGTGATGTGAGTGTGGAGTGAAATGAGGAGTGCTGAACGGAGAATGGAATAACAAATGTTTTCTGTAATGTTTTAATGTGATCATGGAATAATTATTTTTTTGTCAACAGCATACGGTGTAAGTACTAGAGATTCAAAGATAACAAGCTTTATTGAACAGGTGTAAAAGTGAGAGTACTCTGGGATGAGTACTCTGAGAATAAGTACTCTGCGTAAAGTACTCTGAGATGAATACCTTGCTGAACTGGGTCAGAATGCTACATACTGTTTTATAACATTATCATGTGCTTCTTCAGTCAGAATGAAACATAACTGTTTTTATAAATTGCTTCAGTCAGAATGAAACATACTGTGTTAAAAATGTTATTACAAAATATATACAGTATATTAATTTCATGGTTCACAGTCTGGAGTCACTATTGCGCCTTCTCCCCAGACGAATAAACAAAGCCCCTAGCCCTGTTGTTTCGGTCATCACTCTTTGACATGCAAATGATAGCCATGTCTCAGCAGCTCACAGCTGATGGAATCGGGGCCTGTGCAGATTGTCAAGTGTGTGGTCAGCTGCATGGTTCTTTGAGGTTTTCAGTTTTGGCTTTAACAAACAAAAACCATTTTTGTGTAACAAAAAAGTAGTCTTTGTTTTAGATGTTTACAGACAATGCCGCTTCTCACCCCTGAAGACAGATGACAAAGTTGGGATCGCGTTGTAGTATAATTACAATGTTGTATACTTAATGATTTTCAGTAGGTGTTTTGATAATGTTCTTTGTTGCCAATCTAAGTTGGACTAGGGGACTTCGAGAAGGACAAGCCGGACAGAACCTAGCAGATAGAGTGTTTGGAGAGGGCTTCTTCTTATACGGAAGCAGTATGGATGCACTGGGTGAATCCTTTTGCTGAGCCAGATGGAGAGGAGCG